CGTGGGTCTGTGCCCCGCGGCGGGGGCTGAAGAGAGACCTGCGTGGGCGCCCGGAGGCGTCAGCCTCGGCTAAGAGCGCAGAGCTGTTGGGGGCCTTAAAAGCGGAGACTGTAGGTGTGTAGGGTCCACGCAGGTACAGAGGCTTCCCGGTGCGGTTATGGGGAAGGGGAAAAAAAAAACCACAGTGACAGCCGGTGTCATTCCCCTACAGATCGGGTAGCCAGAGAAGCCGGTGGAAAGTAGGAAATGGAAGTAGGACCCTCAGGGGAGGGCGCTTGCGGGGATCCAGGTCTGGACTTCTGCAGTTGCCAGACCGTCCCCATACAAGGACAAAACTGATGGGGGAACAGTCACCGCTGGAAGCTCCTGGGTAAAATTGAGAGGGAGGGATAATTCTCCTGGACGCAGCCTGACAAAGCAGGTTTAAGGTGCAAATCAAATGGGAGCCGGAAATGTCACATCGCGTTTCTAAACAGTTTAGTTATTATGACATCTTCAGCTCTCTCCGGTGAACTGGGACAGATCTCCCTGCTGATGTTGAGGAATTACTGAGACAGACTTGCATGCAGTACGTCTCAGTTTCTGAGTTCATGCCTAGTTGTCTTCGGTGACTGACATGGTAGTCCAGCATGGCCCGTAAACTAGACTCCTGGGACGGGGAAGATTTCCCCGCTGGGTTTCCTTAGACATGTTAACATAAATGTCTCTGTTTCCATGTTCCCAGGGCTCGACAGTCTGCAAAGAACTGTATTTTTTTTTTTTCCGGTCAGCATAGCTTTATCTCGAGCCTCCTCTAGTAGCGAGCATATTATATTGGTGGCTGAGCTGGAATATTGGTAAATCTGGCTGTGGAGTTGAAGGTAGCTGTGAAATTCCCAGACCCTGTGTAAGAATGACTTTTCAGGGTGGCTGAAAAATGAGTTTGTGTGGTCTCTTCCACTGTTGTTCTTCAGAAGGCGACTGTGAACTTCTGGGGAGCTTTGTTTGTTTCTTTTCACCTGTTCTGTGGAGCTTCTTTGGAAGCAAGCATTCTGAGCTACCATGTAGACAAAGCAAATGGGTTAGAGAACTAAGCAACCGGGAACGGGTTTTACTGAGGCTTTACTGAGGCTAGGAGAGGAAGCCATCATAAGCAAGGTCTTTGTATGAAAATGTCAAGGATCAGTCATTTTAATAGGCACTTGCTCAGAATGGCATGGGTTTCTTTTTTCTTATTCTTGTTTTCATTTTAGATATGTAATGACCCTTAACATCAAAAGATGTCAGCTCACGTGGGGAGACTAGGGTGCCAATGAATTCTGCACAGCTGATCTTAATTTAATAGGCAATGTTCTTATCATGAGTGAAATGTTGTTCAAATAAATTGTTTTAAATGTCACTGCAAATGATTTTCTAAACTAACATTTTGCCAATCTTGATGCTTCCATTTTATGTTGATAATGAAAGTGCATTTTATCAGCCTTACATTGATAAAGGGTTGACAAGTTTAGCCAGAGCCTAAAGCCTTTTCAGAAGGCTTGTTTTTATAGATGTCAATTCTTTGGTGAGCCAATAAATAATTCGGTTTGAATTGTGACTATTCATCTTACATCTCTTGAGTAGGCGCTTGTGGAGAGCTTACTGACTCTTGCAAAAAGGTATTTTTCCTATTTATAAATAAAGTGAAATTTTTAGAAGATAATAGTATTGTGCAACTGAATAACTTTGTTTGAAATTAGTATGCTTCTTTATTGCAATTTATGCCAGCAATGAGACAAGTACTCAAGCTTTTGCTTGGAGAAGATGACAAAGCATCTGTACCTAACTTAAAACACAAACTTGGGAGAATGGTGTTTCTAGATGTGAGAATAGAAGCTCTTTACCCCAGGGAACTGTGCTTGTACCTTCAGTCATTCTATATTAATTTGAGTGAATATGGCTCAAGAAGTGAGTTGTTATAAGCTTTCTCTTTTAGAAAAAAGAAAAAATCACAGCTTTGTTTTCTGCTTCCCTAATTTTGCTTAGTAGTTGATTATAGGTTATTGAATCCGCATTGTGCTAAGCCAGTGTTTTCCCTCCAGCCACTTTGCATTAACTAACTGCTTGAGTGGGTGATCCACCTGCTGTTGGTTTAACAAAAGCCTAGGTTTGCTACAACCTTCAGAGAGTAAAATACTAGCACTTGTTTATGTTATAGAGTAAAGGCTAGTGGGATACTTCTAGTTCATCCAAAGTTTAGAGTATAGTTAGCAAAGGTTATTTTCTGTCAAATGTACTTCAATACGATTTTTATTCTTGCGCAGTGACATTTAAGCTTTTGTGTAATATTTTTATACTGCAGTTTTATCCATTGTGATACTGCATTACTTTCGGGCTCCAGCAAAACATAAGGTGCTGTTTGAGCAGAGGGAAAGCAGACAGTTGTCAGCGTGCTGGTGAGCGGCAGTTTTTGGCAGAAGTGTGCTTCTATACAAACATGCAGATGGGGGCAGTTGCTTTTTCTGTTGAGCTTTTGCTAAACTTGAATTTACTCTCATCAGTATTTCCCTTTCCACTGAAATTAGTCCAAGATGGTAAACCTGGAAATCTTTGCAGCAGACTAAAGACTGCAGAAGAGAGAGAAGAAAAAGAAGCATTGTAATCTGAACGAGGATTAGTCTCCAGCTTGCTAGAGGGAAAACTAAAAGCGTACCACGAAAAGCCTCACCAAGAGCATTGTCTGTGTTCATCACTTCTGTCCCAAAGTAAATTAGTCACTTACTGGTCATTGCCTAGTCTGTGGACCCCCAACAGGTTCCAGAGTAGCTATTATGATCCTGGAAAGGCAAGAGGCTGAGTGGAGAAGGGTTCAGGCATTCCGCAGAGCTGTTCAGCTGCTGGACCATCTGGAGGGGAAATAAAAGGCCTGGGCTAGGGGCTCTGGCATTGTGCTTATTTATTATTTGCTTTTCTCTTGCCAGACTTTGTCCCCTTTCACTCCCTCCATCCCAGCTCATTGGCTGGAGTACCGTTCTTACAAGCTTTCTATACTCTGGATGCCGGCAGGTTCATAAGTTCACATATGCCCTTCCTGCTGGCCTTAGGCTGGGAATGTCATTATTCCAGCCACACCCCCACCTAGTTTCTTCGCTGCCCTAGCTGGCTCTGTGATACCGGCATCTGGGATGCCTCGGGGGCATCTAATCGAGTAGATCTGTAATGGACATCCCCATCAGAGCGCAGCATTTTGGCAGCCTTGTTCTGAGCTATTTGGAAAGAAGATGCTCCGAATAATTGTCATTCTGGGTGGCTGTTCGGATGGTAAATGTTTTGATTAATGGCTCTGTGCATCTGCCCCTTATTTAACTCTCCCCAGTCAGAACACCAAAATGCTGCCCACCCTGGCCCCTTTATTCCAAAGGAGTTATAAAGGCTTCTGACCATGTGATTGGGAAGGTCATTAGTGAGGAAAGGCCCAGGTTTACAGCAGTCTTCATAAAACTCGAGTTGTTCTTTTGCCATTGGAAGAAGGGTTTATTGCTCAGAAGCCAACTTGTAAAATCTCGGAGTAAGACTCCAGCCCCTGATGGGTGTCAGGTAATGACTCAGCAAGACATTAGACTGGGGGCTGGGGATTTAGCTCAGCGGCAAAGTGCCTGCCTGGCAAGCGCAAGGTCGTGAGTTCGGTTCCCGGTACCGGAGAAAAACAAAACAAAAACAAAAACAAACAAACAAAAAAAGACATTAGACTGCACACATCAGACACAGTTAAGTATTTCTTTTAGGGAAGCAATTGAACAGTTAGCAATTTGCAAGCTATGTCCACTGTTGAAGATATGGGGTTCTTCATGATCATTTTATATAAAAACTTATTCCTTCCTGGCCCCAAATCCTGGAGCTGCTTTACGAAAAGAGAGTGCTTGTTTTGTCTATGTTGCCCTAGAGCTTTGTATGCTGTAACAATTAAGTGGGCCAGGGGATGGAGAGGGAGGCAACCCTACCTTTCCGTGTTCTAGGCTGGAAAAGTGTGTGACCATGGAGTGGTCCTGGGTGGCTTCTGGGACTCAGTACTCTTCACTGGCTGGCACACCAAGGTGGGGATAAGTTTGCCAATGGCATCATTTTGGGGGTCTCATTCCTGTGTTCTGGGCACACTGAGGGACAGTATAATTTAGAGTTGGTTCTTGGCTCCAGCTCATGGTAGTGCTGTATCCTTGGACAAGTTGCCTAAGTTTCCCAAACCCCAATTTCTATGTCTTCAGTGGGGATATGATGCTATCTACTTCAAAGAATTGGGAAGATTAATATACATAAGCCAGACTCATAGCAAATGCTCAGAAGTAAGTAGATGGTGATAATGTCTCCTGAATTCCTAACTACATTTCAACCTTTCTGAATTTGACATTAGTATATATCAGTAATCTGCCTTGAAAGATCAAGGAAGTACTGAACCTTACCTGCCACCATTATCCTGTAGTAATAGAATGATGTGCATATACACTACACTCTCATTGCCGGAGCTCTGTTCTGTTCTGTGCGTCTCACCTCCCCTGCTCTGTCCATGGAAGGTACGTTTATGGCTGGCTGACTTTAAGTTACTCTCCTAAGCTTATGCCTGCTTTGTAAGCCTCAGGCATTTTCTTGGTTGTTTTTCAATTCTCCCGTTGTATCAGCTTCCTCTAGAATTGGTCATCTCATATACCTGCCACGCTTAACCCTCAGAACAGTCTTTCCAGATGGGTACAGCATTGTTACTCTCATAAATGAGAGGCCTTGACAGAGTGTTATAGCAGATTCTCCTCCAGAGTTTGATCCCACAGCAATATCAACAAACCAAAGTGCAGCTGTAGTTTGTGAGTCCATTGGCTTCATCAATAACCTGGTGAATTAAGCTTCTGAGGGTTCTCCATAGTACAGTTTGGTAGTCACTGTTGGCCCTTGGTTATGTCTAAGACTGAAAATGCCCTGCGAAAGGACAGGAAAGGGGAAATGAATGTGTGCTTGTGGAAGAAAGAGGTATTTCAGAAATTTTTTTTGTGCTCATTTCTATACCTCCCTTTCAGGGAAAGTTTCCTCCCAAGGAGTAGCCTTACAGTAAGCCATGGTATAAACACCTCCATGGTGTTTACTGAGTCCCTGGTGTACTATAATTTTGCAGATGATATAAAAGAAGTAGGTGTGGACCTTACCCTTTGAGAAATTTCTGCAAAGTGCAGAGAAAAAAATTATTGATGAACATTTGGAGAACATTATCAACCAGCAAAAATGCTTTCTGTGCCACATGAGCACTGACCACTTGTCACCATGCATAACATCCTCTGGATGTTTCAGCAAGAGCCTTTGTCCTGGGGGTGGGACTCCCCCCACCCTTCAGTCAAAAGAATGTTCTCTTAACCATAATGTCTTGCGAAGGAGAAGATAAAGGAGCTAGATAAGCAAAGAAAACCGCTATAAAATGAAAGAAGTTTGTTTTCCTGAAATCCGGTGTCCTCCCCAAAACAGGGCATGATAGCTTATCACATGCTAAGCAGCAGATAAGATCAGAACTTCTCAGTGCAATTATGAATTCTGTTGCTCCCTTTCATTAGATGGACAAATTGCCACCCCTTAAAAATAATGTTGAAAAAGGGAAGTGTTAGGACCATTTTGCTTTTGAATATGCAAAATCAAAGGTACAATACTTTGGTTTTTATGAAGTTGATCAGATTGTGGCCCAGGGGACCAAAAAACTCCGAGCGAGCCTGAGAGCTATGGCAACACAGAAAATCCCAGAGCATCTTGAATTTTCAGCAGAACTGAGTTGACAAGTAGCTGGCAGACCCTAGGTGTATCTCATTAGCCAAGCACTGGCTTTGTCTAAATTGCTTTTGCACGGCACTTATGACTTTGCACAGCACTTTGGTATTCTTTTCTGATGCTTTGATGTTTAAATAGCACTCTCAACTTATTTGGAAAACATTTACATAGCGATTAGTTAACCCAGCAGATCAGCCCTGGGAAGGCAGCCAGAGCCAGCAGCACCTTAGCAATGGAAAGCTGCTAATAAGAGAAGAGACCTCCCCAAGACCCAAAGCTTGGGCCCAAAACTGTGCTAGGTGGCTTTAATGAGTGGCGCTTATAAACTGGAGCTTGTGGCGGAGCTGTTCAGACTCATCTTCTGAATCCACCTAGTTTTGCGAAGGTCGTGGCTCTATTTTAGCTGGTCACATTAGGAACAGTGCATACGAAAAGAAAGCAAACAGTTTAGAGCAGTGATGATGAACCTTTTAAAGTTTTCACTGGTACAAATAGCCCTCTTCCGCACGTGTGCCCTAGGTTTGCCACCACTGGCCTGGAGCCATACTACTGATAGATCACCGCAAGCGCTTTCATCTTCAGCTCTGGCTGTGTTCAGCATTTTAACTTACCTGTTGCCCACATACTAATGATCTGTGCTCTGGAACACCACCTAATTGAGGGAGTTTCTGACCCAAGGCTTGGTTTAGAAAACAGTGCTGCTTTTGTTGGTGGGGGTCATGGCAGTGATGGGAGTTGAACTAGGGCCTTTCGGGCTAAGCAGGCACACTGCCTCACAGCTCCTAGTTAAAGGTGCTGCTTTGTATAGGCTGGGGCTGGCTGAGAGCCTTGTTGCTGACGGCTGAGGTCACTGTCTCAGGGGGTATATTGTGTTTAGCATCCATTGCATCATGGCCTGGCTTCTTCCAGATGTGCAGGTTGCAGTCCTGCATTGGAAGGTCTGCCACATGAAAAATCAGTTATCGTGCAAGGAAAGAAGCATTGTAAAGTGTGAAGTTCCTGGAATTTTTTGATAGATATTTTTAATAAAAAATGACTCAGAGTTATTGATGACTCCAGGTTTTTACCCATCCTTACGAGAGTGGTGAAATGGACATCCCAGGGTTGGGGTGGGTCAGAGGGAGGAAGATGGAGCAGACCCGGGGAAAAGTGAGGTGGATGAGCTGGGGGAGGCACCCCAAGGTGTATACAGGCGTACACATCTTCACAGAAGGCAGCCTATGGCTCCCTCCGACTTTCTGTTGGAAAGGTTGGAGTGATGTTTTCCCCTTTCCCTAGGCAACTAAGCCTTACCGCAAGCTCCTTGGGACTCCGCTGAGCTTCAGGGAATACTCTTCCTGTCACACCTCATGTAATTGCACCAACGAAGTTAATTGAGTTGCTTTGGGAAGAACTGGTGTAAAAGGCATCTGGTCTCCTGTAAACAGGGAGGCGGTTTTGGAGCAGGCACGTTCAGCTAGTAGCTCTCGCTGCAGCCCTCCCATGTAACCATCCTAGGGGGCATCAAGGCTGCATGAAGTGAAACTAATCCGTTGCCTGACTGCAGCATCTGGGCTGGTGTTAGGAGCTTGCTGACTTGGGAGGAGACCCTGACCATGGAGTCCGTTGGAGCTACCAGTTTGCTCATTTGACCTCACTGTCAGAAGGGGCCACTTTTTAAAGTGCTGGCTGGAGGAGCAGAAAGGGAGAGAGCAGCTCTTGGGCTTGAATTTGCAGACTAGCCGTCTAGCTGAGGACTGGGCCGGAGAGGAGGGGGTACTCCAGCTGTGTGACCCTTTGTTCTGGTAATGATCTGCTCTCGTGGGTGTTACCCCCTTGTGAGTGTGTGGCCACCGCTGGGTCCTGGAGAGCCCATGGATGGGTCATGGGGTATCCTAGAAACAAAATGCTTTCAATTCAGAAAGGGGTTGGTTGGTCCGGGAGGTAAGTATGCCAAGGTGACCTGCCCCACCTTGTCCTTGTCTCTGTCCTGCACAGGTGAGCGCTGTGGGCTATGGGATGGATGAGGTGGAGCAGGACCAGCATGAGGCCCGACTCAAGGAGCTGTTTGACAGTTTTGACACCACAGGCACCGGGTCCTTGGGACAGGAGGAGCTCACCGACCTTTGCCACATGCTGAGCTTGGAGGAGGTGGCCCCGGTGTTGCAGCGGACGCTGCTTCAGGACAATCTCCTGGGCAGGGTAAGGTCTGAGGAGGAGCAGGGTAGGAGGGCGTGGGTGTGGTTTCTGTTGAGGTGGGGAGAGTGGCGCAAGCCACATATGTTGCAACTTGTCTCTGGCATCCTGACCGTTAACTTGGGAAGGAAGAATGTAGTGGGAGTGACATTACAGTGTAGTTGCTCCAGTGACAAGGGCCTGCTTTAGTTGGTAACCTGGCGTTGAGTTGTGCATGGAGCATCCTACGTGGTTGATGGGATGTTTCCCAGCTGATTCTTGTGGATTCCTTCCGTAGCTCTGCCTTCAGCCCTGGGACGGAAAGGCGGGGGCAAGATTTCAATGGAAGAGAAGGGAAACGAAGTAAGAAAATTGCCTTTCACAGGGAGAGGGGATTTCTGTTACAGTTTTTCTTCTTAATAAAACTATTCCTTGTGTGGATTGTTTCTGGGTGAAGTATTAATTAAGGCTTCCACCCAGGAAATACGACAGGAGAGAAAGTAACTACAGCTCTGCTTCATTTAAAACCCAGCACGACTGGCTTCCAGCAGGGACATGCGTGTGTGCCAGGGTTAACACACACATTTGACAACACATAGCCGTGTTTTCCCAGAGACCAAGTCACAGACATGTGCCAGAGGTGAGAAGGAGTCTTTTTTCCCCCTGTGCTGATAGTGGGATGGACATTTGATCTGTCACAACTTGAGATTGCCTTCTGCTGTCCTAGTGGTAATTCCTGGCATTATTTATATGCTTTTAAGTAGACTCTTCTGCTGTTGGTCTTTGAGATAGACAAGAAAATAAAATAAAGGGCAATACTTTTTGAGCTCTGTTGCTAATGTTGCTGACATTTTGCAAACGGTGGTTTGCATCGTGTGGTGTAAATTGAGGAAGTCCTGAAATTTAGCTTTAGCCTAGTGGCTGGACTTCCTTCTCTTTGTTTCATTTTCAGCCTCTTGGCTGATGAGACGGGTAAGTGACCTGAGCTACATTACAACGTGCTGGCTGTCTGTAACCCAGGAGACAGGAGTAGCGCTCACCCTGCAATTAATAAACAAAAGATGATATTCTCAGGGGCTTGGCGTCATGAATGTGGTGTCAAAGAAAGCTCACACTTAAAAGAAATGTGAGTGCTTTGCAAAAACTGGGGCCATTCCTGGTCACTTCAGAGGGGGATGATTAGCTGCCATGTAGTTCCTAGAACATGCTAAAAATGGACGCAACAAAAATGGAATATTAAAAACCAAACCATTCGGTCCTCTTTATATAGTGCCCTCAAATGATTTCGAGTTCTGCCTCGATTTTGACACACTAGAGAGTAAAAGAGTGCGTCAACCAGTGTGGTCCTTGGGTGTCTCAGGTCTTTCTGTGACTGAGGAACAGCACCCAAGGGCAGATGTGTTTTAGTACTCAGGAAAATCTGGGAAGACCTAATATGACTGACAGTTTCCTTGAGGGGGTTCCTTGGAGTCAGCATAAACACAGACTCCTCTGCTGAAAACAGACTGTGCCTCGGCAGCAGATTAACAGTTTGCTTTCCAGATGTTGCACATCTTTGCCCTCGTTTGGGAGACTCAAACTGGAGACCGGTTATCGATTGATTTGTTAATGACTTGACACCACCAGCCTGCCTTTCACGTTTGCTGTTTTCCTGAATAATGAATACCTAAGTGGTCTGTAGTGTGATATTTACTTAGTGAGCCGGTGATAAAAGTTAAACAGATCTATGCATATTGATTGCATGTGGGAGGTCCCTGGCAATTGTCTTGAGAACAGGGTTGGCATGAATTAATGCACGGCTGTTAAATTTGCATTTTTTATGAAACTGAATTATTCTCCTCAGATGATCACATAAACCTGGCCATATGCTGTGAAGATATTCTATATGGTCTATAATTTTAAATTATAAAGAAAAAAATCCTCAGAATCCCGGAGCAAGCTGAGTGCTGTCATCTTTATGATATATTGAATAATGGTCATAAATTGTAAAATTATAAGATATTTAGAAAATGAATGTAATTTTTACATGACACACAGTAATTCTATATATTCATAGAGTATAGCGTGGGATTTTAATACAGATACATGTATGCAGCACATGGTGGTCAGAGCTGGTATCTATCCCCCGAATACACATGATTTCTTTATGTTGGGAGCTCTCAAAATCCTCTCAACTATTTT